GTGGTGTCCTATTACAATGACTATCTCTTTCTACTACAATATATATAAATACATGTATATCATGGATGTTTTTCGTTCGTTTTTCGTTTTTTGCATTTTTCATGTTTTTTCATTTCACACAACAAAAAAATACACTGTTCTATTTCTTTTTTTTCATTTTTTTGCTGGCTGTATGTTTACAAAAATAAGCAAATTAAATTGAACCAAAAATAATAGAGCTGACGCTTTTTGTTTCTGGTTTGTCAATAGAGTCTGGTGTCCTATTCTCAAAAAGAAAAAAAAACAGTCTTCTTTTGTATCCTAAAGTGATAGGCAACTGACTTGGTTTCTCACGATGAAATCCTTAAAGTATTTTAAAGTGGTTTTGAAGCGGTTAAAATTAGGCATCACATTTCAGTTCAGTTAGTTTATATTTTCAACTTGAATTCACTATTCTAATCGTCTTACAATGGTTTTCCTGTTGTTTCTTTTAGATAAAGCTAAACTCCCTATAATTATTCTTTTGTCTAAACGCAGCGAAACTGCTTTCGAATTAGTCTATCCATATGAACTCGCAGCATTATGGGCAAAGAAATAACGGACGATATAATAAGTAGATTACTAAATATTTTCTGGATATACACTGGAAGTATTTATACCTTTTTGCTATATTTCTTTTTAGTGGTAATAGCGGGTCTTATCAAAACAGCGGTGGTCAATTACGGACAAATAATCGGCATCAATCGATCCCATCCATGGCTCCTTTTACAGCTTACATAGGCAATCTTCCCGATAATGTCGTACAAGGCGATTTTGACGAAAGATTATTCAATGGATTAAGGGTATTTTTTGACCTAACATCCTTAGCTCATCTCTCGATTTGATGATGTTTAGGTCAAACAAGTTCGATTGGTACGTGATCGTGAAACAGATCGTTTTCGTGGTATGAATTGTTTCACTTGATTCAAGTTAGAAATTTTGAGAGTTGTTTGTTTTTGAGGATTTGCCTATGTGGATTTCGAAGATCAAGATTCTTTACGACAAGCGCTGGGTTTTGATGGTGCGGTAAGTGATAAAGTTTGAAATAAGCCTCTAGCCTGTCAGTCTCATGGGAAAAAAATAGACAAAACTGATTTTTAAGCAAAAAACATTTATACATAGGCAAATATATATCCTCTACATACATCTGCACATTTTTTT